CCCGACTGTCCCTGTCCCGGGTGTCCCTGTCCCGGGTGTCCCTGTCCCGACTGTCCCTGTCCCGACTGTCCCTGGCCCGACTGTCCCTGTCCCGACTGTCCCTGGCCCCAGCTCCGGCCCTGGTCCTACCCCCCCCGGGAGAGGCCTCCGGGCCGGCAGGGGGCGCAGTGCGCGGCCGCCATGTTCGCTGTGCCGGTGCCGGTGCCGGGGCCGGTGCGAGGCGGGCGGCCCCACACGGCGCTGTGGGGGCCAGCGCGTTTCTGGCCGTGGCGGGGGGGTCTGGCAGGCCCTTGGGGGGCACCGGGGGATGCCGCGGCGCCGGGGGCGGCTGAGGGAGCTGGTGCCGGAGTGAGGATCCTTGGGATCGAGTGAGGATCCCTGGGATCGAGTGAGGGCCCCTGGGATCGAGTGAGGGTCCCTGGGATCCCTGGGGCGAGTTCGGGGGCAATGGAGAGCATTGAGAGAGCAGCACTGGGGCTTTGGGGGTCCTGGCCCGGCTGTAGCGAGTAGCTCTGCCTGATGCTGGTGAAAATTGTAAAAGGGTTTTACTCTTAATTCAAAAAGTAATTTGGAATGGAATTAGAGAGGACAGAGGCACACCCAGCCTTTTCTGGCATATCCGTCAGGGTCTCCCTTCCTGTGTCTGGATCTTAAGAGGCAGATGTCCAGGGGGAGGTCCAGGGCTGGGGACCTCAGGGCAGGACCCCTCCGTTCTCTCGTGTTTGTCACCCTGGGGGGGTCTCTGCCCCCGGAGCAGCCAGTGGTGCTGGGGCTGATGCTCTGGGGTGGGGGGCACTGGGACTGGAATGCTTTGCCCTTCTCACCCCTGTTCAGCTCCCGGGTGGGGGGTTGAGGTGCAGCGGGGGCTAAATTATTTTTTGGTTAAGAGTAAAACCCTTTTGCAAGAGCACGGGACACTGTGGCTGGTGGGGAGAAGGGGAGGGGGGAGAGGGGTCGCTTCCCCCATTGTGCTCTGCTCCAGCCCTGGGGGGTTCTGGTTTCTTGGGGGTGATGGGGTCCAGCTCCAAAGCCCCTCAAAAGCCCCCGTTCCCTCCCCATAAAGAGGCACCAGGAGGGGGAAAGGGCTTTATTAACAGTGTGGGGGGGGGCAGTGTGGGCCCCTCCCAGCGCAGCCTGGGGGTCAGCGGGAGTGTCCAGTGGCCATGGGGGAGCGGCGAGAGGAAGCCTTGAACACGACGTCCTGCGCCTGTGCCCGCCTCGCGCTGCCAGGGCAGAAACCAGGGTGAGAGGGGAGGCTCTCCATGGAGCTCGGGGTGCCCCTGCTGTGGGGGAGCCTCTGAGGGGGATGGGGGGGTCTCACCGCATCCGCTTGGCCCCAAAGTGGACGGCGAGGAAGAGGCCGACACAGCCGGCGACGGTGCCAAAGATGATGGCGATGACCTCACCTGTGTGACACCGGGGGGCTCAGGGAGGTGCAGGGGTGACCCCCCAGCCCAGCCTCCCGGCCTGGCCCTACCTGTGGAGTATCCCTCTGGCTCTGCAAGGGAAAGGCCAGGGTCAGGGCCATTGTGCCCAGCTGGGGCTCCAGGAGCCATGTGAGGGGTGCAGGGGGCCCTTCCCACCCCTCCGCTCACCCCTGGGGAAAGACGAGAGCACCGGGCGCTGGTTCAGCTCCTGCGGGGCGCGGAAATTGTCCACCAGGAGCTGGGGCTCCTCCGGCTCGGCCTCCTCCGTGGAGTAAAGGCTTCCCTGGAGCTGCTCCAGCTGGAAGGGGAAGGGGGCAGCACTGGGGGCCGTGTTCGCCAAACCTGGGGGCTCCCCCCGGAGCGGGTCCTACCTGGGCCCGGCTGATGCGGACGGGCTGCGGGAAGACAGTCCAGAGGACGCTCTGGAAGCAGGGTGGGGTGGTCAGGGACCCGTTGTACCGATAGTAGCGGTCGAGGTGCGCGGGCAGCAGGTCCCGGATGCTGAAGGAGGGAATGGCCACCGTCTGCCCTGTGGGGGGGGAGCAGTTGGGGGTGCTGGGAGGGGGATTTGGGGTTCCCCCCTCCCTCTCCTCACCTGCGTAGCGGATGCTGCCAAGATGCTTCAGGATGTTGTCATAGGCAGGGTGGGGGTCATCTCCCACCTGGAGGAGTGAGGGGGGGATCAGTGAGGGGCTGGGGAAGCGTGGGTGGGTGGGGGGCTGTGTGGGGTCCGTACCTCCAGGAGGACGCCGAGCACGGCCAGCCCGCCGGGGTGCTGCTGTGCCGCGCTGGCATCGGCGAAACGCTCAGCGTCGAAGTGCACCACGTGCATCTGCGGCACAGCAGGGACCCCCTGAGCCCCAGCCCTGCCACCCCCAACCCCTGCCCCGGCTCCCTTCCTGCACCGCTGCCTGCACCCGTCCCAGCACCTCCGGCAGTGCCCAGACCTGCTGCCTGCTCCCACTCCTGTTTCCCACCCTTTCTTCCTTCTGCACCCCGTCCCCTCCCTGCACTCATTTAACATTTCACACCCCTGGACCCATTTCCCTCATCAGGACCCCTTTTCCATTCCCTGCAGGAAATTCCTGTAGTACAAACCCATCTTCCACACTGTTCCCATGCTGCTTCCCACACTGACACCCCTTCCCACAATCATTTCCCACACAATTCTCACGCCATTTCTTGACCCCAGACCTGTTGCTGTCCTCCTTTCCCACCCCATTCCTCATCCATTTCCCGCCCCCAGACCCATTTTCGGAGCTGTTTGCCGGCCGGCCCGCAGAGCCCCCGTACCTCGGCGGGGGCGCGGTGCCCGTCCAGCAGGTGCTCAGCGCCAGCAGCGTGGCCGGGCCGGCCCCAGTGGAAGTGGAGCTGTACGGCAGCGAAGGTGTGGGGCAGCCCCCGGAGCCGCAGCGACGGTGGCAGTGCCAGCACAGCTGTGGGACAGGGGGTCAGCAGGGCTGGGACACCGGGGCCTCCCCCGCTTCTTCCCCCGGTGCTCACCGGTGTGGCCATTGTTGGCGAGGCTCAGCCGGGGGCTCTCGGGGTGCTCGTAGCCCTCAGGCTGCAGCGGCGGCAGCGACAGGTCCGGCTGTGCCCACGCCGTCGCGATGTCGATGGGTGACTGCGCCCGACCCCCACACTCTGGGTGTCCCTCGTGCCAGTGCTGCTGCCCATGGGGGCCTGGGGGGCACCAGAGTCCAGCTGGGACCCCCCCAACCTCACCCTGGGGGCTGCTTCACCCCGCAGGGCCCCGTGACCCAAAGCGCCCTCGGTGGCCCCCAAACCGGGACGCGGGTGACATTCCCAAGGGCCTCGTTAATCTGCTGGGGACATTTTTTCCAGCTGGGGGAGCTGGGACAAAGCCGAGCCCGCAGGGCCGGGGGGGCACCCATGGGTCCCCTGGACCCGGCAGGATGGGGCTTAGCGGGATTTGGCCAAGGCCGGATCCTAATTGGATTTGGCAGCAGGAACCTTATGTAAAGGAGCACAAAGGGACCATTGGAGCGAGGGGGACAAGGGGGGGCAGGAAGGGGAAAATGGGGGGCTGCACCCATTCGCCCCTGCCTGCCTTGGGGACCCAGGTGGGTGCCCGTTTGGGGGGACCCGGGTGTCTGGGGGGGAGCGAGGGGAGTTCTGTCATGCACCCATCTCCATCCCATTTGGGGGAACCCAGATGTCCAGGATCAAGGGGGAGCTGTCACCCATCCACTTCCCCACCCTCTGGGCAGACCCATGTGAGCCCCTCAGCTCAGGGGGTGTGGGGGGTGCTTTGGGGGGGGTGGGGATAAATGGGGGTCCCTGGGTGGGGCCCCACTCACCCTCATACATCCAGTGCGGACCTGTTGGGGAGAGCAGAGGCATTGGGGGGGAGTCTCAGCCGAGCCCCCTGGCCCAACATGGGGTCACCTGAGGGGGGCTGAGGCTGCACCCCAGAGCTGGATCTGCCAGGGGCACCCCGGGAGGACTCACCAGCGGGCAGGGCGGGGGCCAGGCCCCCCAGGAGCAGCAGCACACTCAGCATGGCGGGGGGCAAGGGGGGCTGGGTGCCACCGGCCCGGCCCTAAATACCCACCCAGGGGGACGGGCCCCCCCGGGGGGACGGGGAGGGCTGGAAGGGCCATGCCCGGGATGTTGGGGTGTGAGGAGGGTGGAGATGGGGCTGTGGGCTTGCTGGGTCTGTGGGACTGTGAGCTCAGGACTTGTGGGATGAGGGGTTTGTAGGATTGGGGTTTGTGAGGCTCTGGGGGACTCTGAGGGTTTGGGGGACCTGAGGGGGGGCCTCGGGCCTTGTGGAGGGTCGTCAGCTGGGGTATTGGGGGGGTCTGGGGGGTCACCCTGGGCCTGGTGGAGGGAGAGCTGGGCTGGGGGCTCGGGGCCCTGGGAGGGATTTGGGGATGAAAATGAGGGGGTGGGGGGGGGGGGTTGGGGGTTCTCGGGGGGGGGGTGGGGGGGGGCCCGGCAGACCCTGCACGAGTTCC